GAGGCTTGGAGAAGGCAAGCTATTTCTCACTTGCTTTACCGATGCTACGTGGGCTTCTGAGAAGGAGGATTCCTCATCTGTGGGAGGATACATCTGCGTAGTTGGGGGAGGACCTGTTAGTTGGAGGTCCAAGAAGCAGACGGAGACGGCACTCTCTTCCGTAGAATCAGAGTACATGGCGATGTTCCATGGGGTGAAGGAGGTGATTTGGCTGAGGAGGCTGTTAGAGGAGATTGGCCAGGAGCAGAAAGTTGCTACGCCGCTGTTTTGTGATAGCAAGGGGGCTCTTGGGATGGCCAGAAACGCTGTGCTTCATGGGCTGAACAAGCACATGCGTATCAAGTGGCACTGGCTGCGTAAGGAGGTGAAGAGGGGGACGGTGCATCCGATCTACATCAAGACTCACCAGCAGCCAGCAGACTTTCTCACCAAGAGGCTTGCGGATGAGCCTCATTGGCGTTGTGTGTGCATGAGTGGAATGAGCATAAACTAGCATGGAATGACGGGGATGCAGCCGGCAGGCTGAGGGGGAGTGTGTTGGGTGCAAATGCACATTGCACGACATCCTGCCGTCTGTTTGTACGAGTATGCGTGTGCGAATGCATTTGTGTGTGAATGGTGTGTTCGTGTGTTTGTTTGCTTTCGCATTTTTCGCTTGATGCATTTGCAGGTACTCGCGCAATGTGCGCTTCGGCACAACATTGTATGCGCTATGAACAGTGCAAGCAGAAAGGACGAGCTCGCAAAGGAACCCAAGATGGAAGCTTTGCAGTTCGGTTGAGTTGATTGCGCAGATTCAGTTCTATCCAACTCGGAATTGTACTGTTTTGTTTGGTTAACTATAGTGTAGCAGGGAAGGCACTATAGGGGTACAATTTAGGTGAAGGTTGGATGTTGTTTGTCTGTATCTGCATGCTACAAGGCCAGGGGAAACCAGCGGAACCAGCATTTGGCTGGTTGGGCAAAGACAAAACAGGTTCTGTTTTTAGAACCTGAACCTGGTTGTTGTTTTCCCAGGTTGGAAAAACAGAACCAGAGGTTGTTTACCAACCTACCACCTGCTATTTTGTCCAGCCAGGTTGGTTCTGTTGCTTGGAATTATTTGGGATCATCCCTGGTTGTTCCCAGGTTGATTCCCAAGGTCCTTGCTAGCTAGAACTATTTAATCCTTCTCTGTTTGTACCTGAATATAGTCAAATTGATTCAAGCGAATTCCTTCCTCGCTGGAATTTCGTTTCTACGCGGTTCGTTGGCGGAATGCTACCCGAGTCAACGCTAGTACGCTAGCGCTCCAACGCTAGGCAAACGCTGTCCGAGCCATAACTTAGTAATGGCAGAACTTTTCGCGAGGCAACTTGGCTCATTTTAAAGCTCTTGGAGCGAGCTTCGATATAGCAAGTTCTCAGCTTAATCCGACCGACGGTCTGCACGGCACGCTGCGCGACGTTCAAGGTACTCTTGCTGTTTTGACTAAGTCCTTCTTGATCCCTCTCTCTACAAACTCGGACCCGAGGATAGGGCTGGTCTTGTACCAGGCACCCAGGGACCCTTGGAGGTGACCCCAAGGAGAGGTTTTAAGTTTGATTAAGTCCTAATAGCTTGAGTTTATTAGGCCATTATACCAACAGAGTAGACCTGTGAGTCTCGTCGTCGTCAGCAAGAAGAGTCACAGTGACCAGTAAGTACGACAGGCTGACTCCCTCCAAGAACCAGCCCCACGCCCGACATCGTCGCTAGGTACTTTGCCACCCTCACAGCAGCTGTCCAGTGAACAGGACGGTGTCTCCCTGGCGCAACAAAGCGAGCAAGGATGCTGAGAGGGAAGGCGAGGTCAAGACAAGTACAAGTCATCAGGTACATGAGGCAACCCACAAGCTCTGCGTAGGGACCACTAGGCTCAAACGGCTTGTCAGGAAAGGGTCAATAGCAAGAGGTATGCGCTATACTGTAGAGTGCTGAAGCTCGAACCGCTGAAGGACCTGCTGCACCATGTATGACTGTGAGAGTGTAATGGTGCGAGCGACTCTGTCCTGGGTGATCTGCAGGCCAAGTTAGTGGCGCAGCTCACCAACGTCAGTGCACGTGTGTCTCTTCTGCAGTTCGGACTTCACGTCAGCCAAAGCAACCCTGTCAGCAGTGGCGAAAACCAGGTCGTCAACGTAGACCAGTACAAAGAACGGTGTGGAGCCACGACGAACAAACAGCGACGGGTCGGCAGAAGACTGCTCGAAACCAAGGTCAGACAGGGTAGAACGAAGGGTGTCGTGCCACTCACGAGGAGCCTGACGGAGACCGTAGACCGGTTGCCACAGCCTCCACTGGGTCCCAGGAGGGAAAGTGCTAGTGAAGGCAGAGGGACGACGCAACCAGACCTCCTCGTGTAGGCTACCCTAAAGGAAGGCAGTGGAGAAGTCGAGAGAGTGTAGCTCGTAGTCTCTCTGTGCTGCTACATGCAGTAACACCCGAAGAGTGGTCATCTTCGGGGTAGGCGCGAAGGTCTGAAAGAAGTCAACTCCCTCGTGCTGACTGAAACCTCTAGCCACGTAGCGCGCCTTGAAGACCGGAGGAGATCCCGGTGGCCGCTTCACCCTGAAGATCCACATGCCATCGACTACGTTCGCCCCCCGGGGGGGGGGAACCTCGTCGATGTAGGTGCCTGTGGATCTGTAAGAGGCCATCTCTGCATCCATGGCAGCTCTCCACTGAGAGGCCCAAGGCCCTGACACTGCCTCAGCGTAAGTGCGAGGAGTAGGTATGTCAAGGGCGTTGGGGTCTCCCTCAGGGGCGAGCAGCATGGCACAGAGATGAGGGGAAGCGGCTGCCAGGAACTCTAGCTCAAACTGCCTGTCCTCTAGGGCGTCACAGCCAAGGGCAAACTCACCCAAGACGGCCAGAGGACTGGCAAGAGGAGCAGCCACAAGACTGGTGGCGTAGTCAAGGCGGCGAGTAGAGGCAAACTCAGTGACTGCGGCAGTAAGAGCGGAGACAGAGGACACAGAGGCACGAGGGTGAGTAACAAGAGAGGCGAGAACACGAGAGAGAACAGGACGGTACGTGCGGTAGTAGTCTGTGACAGGAGTAGAGAGGGAAGCAGTGAGGGCCGACTCAGGAGGAGAAGGAAGCACAGACGGAGACGAACGAGGCGGACTAGAACGAAACAGTGCATTACGAAGGTCAGTGACGGGAACAGGGGACGAGGGACGAGCACGAGGAGAGCGACGAGAGGCCCAAGTGTGAGAAAGAGGAGGGGACAAAGGAGCCTGAGAACGAGGGAAAATAGCTGGGGAGGGGTTAGGAGGAGGAAGCGGAGGACCAGAGACAGGAGGAGAGGGGGAGGAGGGAGGAGAGGGAGAGGGTGAGGGTCCGAAGACCAGAGACAGGAGGAGGCGGTGACGGCTGCTGCTCCTGCTGCGGCCGCTGTTGCTGCACCTCCAGCTATTGCTACTGCTGTGCCTGCTCCTCCGGCTGCTGCTGCTGCTGCTGCTGCTCCTTCGACTGCGGCTGCTGCTACTGGGCACTGCTGCTGCTCCTCCAGCTGCTGTAGCTCTAGCAGCTGCCGCTCTTATTCGAGGCCCTCTCTTTCCAAATCCAGCTGCTCCTCACGTGCACGGCGAAGATGGGTCTGGTGTCGGGTCGGGTAGGAGTGCGGGCACGGAGTAGTGTTCGGGGCAGGGGCAGCCCCAGGACTACCCTCCAAGGCACCAGCCGCACCACCCCCAGAGCCAGCACCACCAGAAGTAACAGGGTCAGTCCCAGGCTCTCCAGGTCCAGCAGAGGGTGCACCCCCAGGCGTAGCACCCCCAGGGACAGCTCGACTAACACCAGCTCCCCGAAGACCAGAGTATCCTGCAGGCACGGGCTTAGCTCCAACTCCAGCACCCCCACAACCAGGACCTCGCACAACCAAAGGGTCTGCAGTAGGCTGTGAGGAGGACTGCGGGGAAGGAGGCTGCACCTGAGGGGCTACCGAGGGGGGAGGGGTGGGGGGGAAGCGTGGGACACACCTGACGGGGTTGGATCAGAGGGGGGAGGCTGTACCGGGGGAGCAGGAGGTGGAGCAGAAGTCAGGAAGAGAGGGGGAGGAGGAACCGGGAGACCTCGACAAGGCTACCTGGCGTAGTAGGGGACGGATTTGTCGAAACGAAAGTTACGGGAGTCAAAGAAAAGGTGAAGGGGAGGGTGGTAGAATGTGAAGTCAGAGGAGTCCTCAGGGAAACCAAGGAAGACACAAGGAACGGCGCGAGGCGAGATCTTGTCCGCGGAGGTGTCGCGAACAAGTGCCAAGCAACCCCAGACACGAAAACGCGACGCAGCACCAGGGGACCCGGTCCAAAGACTGGTCGGTGAAACCTCTGGCCGAGAGACACGTGGCCAGAGGTTCAGCTGGTGAGCGGCGTACCGAACCGCGTAGGGCCACAGAAAATGGGGGGCATGGGCGTGTGTCATGGAGGTGCGGGCCATCTCCATGACCAAGCCTATGCGGCGCTCAGCAACCCCATTCTGTTGTGGGGACTCTGGAAGCGTCCAGGACTGACGGATGCCCTGCTCGCGACAGAATCCAGCGAGTACGCCGGAGCGAAACTCACCCCCTCGGTCGGTGTGAAGACAGCTGACACGACGACCACGAGTGTCTGCAATGGTATGTAACCACCTGATTAGCGTAGAATTCACCCCAGACTTCTTCGCCAGGGGGAACACTGTGGTGTAGTCGTCAACGACCACGAGAAAGAAATGCTCGGGCTCAGGGCCAGGGCGAGAGGCGGGGCCCCAGACGTCCAAGTGGAGAGTCTCAAAGGGCTCGGTGGCCGGACGAAGGGAGGAGTGAGGGGTGGCGCACAGCCGACCCTCGACGCAGGGACCGCAAGGTGGTGCAAGCGAAGGCGGCAGCGACGGCAAGATGCTGACTAGACATAGCGCCTAGGCGAGGAATGGGCGAGTGCCCCAGCCATAGAACGGTGGGGTGGACAAGCGGCCGGTAGGAGCAAGACGCGGCAACTGGACTAGACACGGGAACCTGACCAGACACAGCTACCTGGGGAGACGCGGCAACCTGGTGAGACGCGGTGACCTGGCGGGAGGCTGTGACAGGTGTCGGGGGCAGTAGTTGCTGCTGCTGCTGCTGCTGCTGCTGCTGCTGCTGCTGCTGCTGCTGCTGCTGCTGCTGCTGCTGCTGCTGCTGCTGCTGCTGCTGCTGCTGCTGCTGCTGCTGCTGCTGTTGCTGCTGCTGCTGCTGCTGTTGCTGCTGCTGCCGCCCTCAAGGACCAGTGTGAAGTGTGTAGAGACTAGGGCCCGGCTCAACGGCAAAGGTGGCCAGAGGCGCGTACGTGTCACCGTCTACACAAACCGTAGTCTCGCCAGACGGCTCTATCCAAACACCCACGTGACTACTCACAAACGGCCTCACGCCCACCAAGTTCCTGGAGAACGAGGGGACGTGGAAGCCCGTCAGAGAGCCTGAGGGAACAGCTGGGCACGGAAGCGTAGTAGTGTAGCGAGCAGTGACTGGTCCCGAAGTGGGATCAGCTAGTGCTACATAGACCGGCACAGGAAGCATAGTAAGCGTCGTGTGGCGGAAGAAATAGTGCGAAGCTCCGGAGTTCAGAGTGAAAAACAGCGAAGCGTCCTCCGGAGCAGCTCCTAGTCTACACAAGTACCTACACTAGCAACAGGCACCTCAGCAACACTAGCACCTAAGCTAACAACACTCGAGTAAACAAAGTCAGAAGCACTAGAGTCAACAACAGCATACAAAGCATGAGGAGCTCCCAAGAGATCAAGCAACTGAGAAGCCGACATGTCTCACAGAGCAGGGCCGTACGTCCGAACAAGGAGAAGCCAGTCAGGGGCAGGGCTGTCAATGACATAGGCCGCACGAAGTGTGTTAGTCAACTGAGCAAAGCACTGACCCGGTGGGTGGCTGCGGCCACAGGGGAGGCCTCGGCGAGTACCTGTCTGAACGAGGTAGGTGCAGTGAGGGTGGACGGCACTGCGCGAGAGCTGACGCGGTCCTGACCCCTGCCCCGGAACCTGCTGCTGCCTCTGCTACTGCTGTGGTTGCTGCAAGAGGAGTGGCTGCTGCTGCTGCCGCTGAGTCAGGTACCAAGCCGCCACTCCAGCACCTGCAGCTGGCAGACCAACAGGTGCCTGACGGACCCAAGCGTCACCTCCACCAGCTGCAGCAGGGGAGTCACTAGCCGCTGCACGAGGCGCTCCTCCAACCCCTGCACTCCCGCCACCGCCGCTCGCCACGCCACCTCCGCCGCCTCCGCCGCCGCCGCCTGCACCCTGACCGCCCCTCATCCCACTCCTACCCCTAGACCGTGAAGAAGTCGTAACAACAGCTGCGGTCGCGTCAGTAGCGGCAGTGGCGAGGGAGGCAGTAAAGGTGGGCAGCTGAGGGACAGTGCACCCGTGAAACAGTGGCGGAGGCACAGCGCCAGAGGCGGAGGCTACCGAGCGGAGGTTGCTCTCGACGTCCTTGAGGGCACACTGAAGGACCTCGATAGTGAGCTCGCTAGGGTGCTTCAGAAGAAGCGTGTCACGAACCGAGGCAAGGCGGCCAGGGAGGCTAGTGGCGATGAAATATATAGTAATCGCCATGGGGGGAGGGAGAGGTGCAAGCTGTGCATCAGTGCAGGCAGCGCAGAAACTAGAATCGAGTGAGCGCAGGTGAGCGATCAAGTCAGCACGACGCTCAAACGAGGCGAGGTCAGGGAACAAGAACGGTAGGAACAGTCGACCAAGAGAGACAGGAACTCAGTAGCCGTGCGAACCTGAGTGAAGTGGGTCTCCTCAGACTCAGGGAGGAGGCTGCTGAGGGCGATGCAGGCTGCAGTGTCACACGACTTCCACGCGGTGACGTCAGCACGCCGGCGGGCATAACGGTCTCTGTCTGCAGTGCTGGCATCAGCGCCCAAGGGTGCAGGGTCGAAGGGCGCAGGAAGGTCACCGGAAGCGTGCGCCCACAGAGACTCGTCTGCCTGAACCTGACTCTCTAGGAGGCGGCGCGCACGCAGGAGCCAGACAGCGAGTTCCAGCGGCCTACCCTCGGCATAAATACGTAGAACCCTAGGTGTCGCCATAGCGGCTGTGGCAGGGTGTGACGGGCGCGAGGGTGCGGGATCGAGCGGGCGCGACGGGCGCCTAGGAACGAGCACCTAGAGACGGGCGCCTAGGGATGGGCGCCTAGGGACGGGCGCGGCGCGACGGACGCGACAGACGCGACGGGATGCGAGTGACGGACGGGACGAGGGCGACGGGACGCGTGCGACGCGGGCGACGGGACGCGGGCGACCGGACGGGCGCGACGCCGTTGGGGGGAGACGCGGGCGACGGGACGGGACGGGCCGGGCGCGAAGCGACGCAAGCACGCTGACATGAGATTTCTGGAGAGGGGGTGGGGGGGACACGGGCGACAGGACGGGACGGACGGGCGTGACGCGACGCAAGCACGTTGACAACAGATTTGGGGGGGGGGGTGGGGGGGGGGAAACGTGGACGGGACGGGACGGACGGGCGCGACAGGCGCTAGAGAACGGAACGGGCGCAACGGTCTCTAGTGTACAGGACGGGCTCGACGGTAGGGCGCTACGGGTGGTAGAAGGAACACGATCCCACAGCATCCTGACCTAGGTGATACCATGTCAAGAACTGAATGATGATTTGACTAAGGTTGGTTAGGGTACATGAACCTAACCCTAACTGCTGCACCCCACATGACATGCCTCACTACAGGCTACAACATTTGACACACCCCCGGGTCTATAATACGGGGGGGGGGATATTCTATTTGTGTGTATCCGAGTTATACCCCCCTAAATGGCACCTGACATTATCAAACCGACACCCTAGGAAATTGCGGATTGTCAGCGAATGCAATGGATAATTGTCATATTCCATGTTAAGGGAGAGACAACACACCCATGACCGCACATGCACAGGAACATTATCATCCTAATCCTGTCCAGCAACCCAGATCTCCACCTCCTCCCCATCATATCGCCCTTCTGCCCACTACTCGTCGCCATCATCCTCCCATCCCGCTCCACTCCCCACCTCCTCCGCGACCGCACCCCCTTCCTCCTCACCCTCATCCTCGTCATCCTCCTCATCCTTCTCCTCGTCCTCCTCGGAGTCCTCCTCGGAGTCCTCCTCCGAGTCCTCCTCCTCCTCCGTGTCCTCCTCCGTGTCCTCCTCAGTTTCCTCCTCCTCCTTCTCCTCCTCCTCCTCCTCCTCCTCCTCCTCCTCCTCCTCCTCCTCCTCCTCCTCCTCCTCCTACTCCTCAGCTGGAGAGGAGGAAGCATTGCTGTCCTTGCTCGCAGGGGCAGCAGGGTCCGGGTAGAAGGGTTGGGGACGAGCTCTTCCATCTCCTCCTCGCACGCATCCTCCAGCACCTCCACCTCCGCCTTATCCCGGAGGTAAGCGAGAATCAACTGATCCTCGCTTCCGTCGACGGCGGTGGAAATGCCGCAGGTCACGAGGGCTTTGTTGATCAAATCTTCAGGGACGTCTGCCCAGGCCTCCGCAATCCATATCAGAACCTTTTCCGGGGGGGGGGGGGGGGGGGGGGGGGGGGGGGGCTTCAAATTTCCTGAGAGAAACAACACGGACAAGGCAGTTGTGAGTCAACACACGGTCGCTAGCACACAGTAGTGCGGGTTCAACTCACGTGGTCACCTGCACAGATGAAAGACTCAATCCCCTCATCCTGGAACTACGTGGAGTAGTGGTGGCAAACCCCAGCTTTGAAGCTGTGGTTCATCGAAACGTCCAGTGGTTGCACCAGCGAGGTGCAATCGCCAGGAATTACCGCGCGCGTGAGCTTGAACAGCTTCATCATCTGGCCAACTACTTCCGTGGCGTGCCCTCGGTAGGAGTCGAGGATGAGGAGCGCATCCTTGCGCTGCCTTTCCTCTTCGCGGTGCGGCTTCAGGAAGGGGACGAGAACCTGCGTTGTCCAGTCTTGGACAAGCTTCTTGTCCATCCAGCCCTTTTCCTGGGCTTGCACGATAACACCTGCACATAATAAAAAGATACATTAGCAGTGGAATTCCTTCAACCAACCCCGGCAGAGCAAGTCACATCTCACCTCGGGGTATGGGGATCTTCGGCATGGTCTTCCGCTTGAAGACCACATACGGAGGGAGCTTCAAGCCGCCCGCGGTCACTGCAAGCATGACGATGACGCGCCACTTCTCGTACCCCGCGCTGCACACGTGCATGGTCCGAGCGCCTTTCATCTCGAGTGTGCGCTCGGCAGGCATATCAAGGAATAGGGGTCTCTGATCCGCGTTCACGATCAGGTTGAGGGGGTTGGAGTTGAGCATGCGCATTTGCCTCACGAATTCCTAGAAGGCCTCACACCTCTACTTGTAATCTGCATCGCACGGCATAAGGGTGAGTCAGGCCCGGTGGATATGGTACGACTTTACATCTGTGAATATTGGGAAGGCCGAGGTTAAGGTACCTGCAGCTAGCTTCTGCCCGATCTTTGTCTTCACGCTGTGCCAGGGACCACCGCCTGCGTAACCTCTTTGTCCAACCGTGGGACGACCGCCACTTCGCCTGGGGTTGGCGATGCTACATGTAGGTCGCCGCCCAACTCTGCAGCAGGCTCACGGAAACTGGCAGGCCTCTCCCACCATGCGACAAGAAACCTGCGGTAGACCGCAACCTCCATCAGGGGGTACTTGGGCTTTCGTCCCGCACTAGTGAGACGTTGGCGACACCCTGCCGCTTTGTCGAGCCGCTCCTTCAAGCTGCGCCACTCGCCGATCTGCTTCGGCTGGACATTGGCGAGCCTAGCCAAACCCCGGACTCTCATATGGGGCTGCACGTCTAGCATCTTGAGCCAGTAAAGCTTCCCCTTGACGGTGTAAGCTTTCCGCGCCTTCGTTGTTTGACAACGCCTTTGCTCTGGCGTCTCTGCGTCGCACACCCGCTTCTTCTGTCCCCACGGTCGGCTCGATTCCAAAAATACGGGAACCTTCACGTGCGGAAGCAGACGGCGTGGGCTCCCGCTGGGCTCCTTAACTGTCTACTTGCTGCTAGAGGAACTTGGCGTTGGCATGATGGGCCTGGGCGACGGCCTAGGAACAGGAGGCTTCTGAACTTTCTTGCGGCGCCTGCATCGAGCACCGGACGTCCCAGCATCTGGTGATGTCACCATGGCGGCTAGAGTGGGGATAAAGTGGCTGCTAGCTTCGAGGGGAAAATGGAGCAGGCATCCATATTTTAAGCGGTAGCTAGCTGAGCACAGTAAGGGGAGAAGAAACAGGAGGGGGAAGTGAATGACAACCCTCACAAACAAGGACGTGCGAGCAGACAGTAGGGTGTCTGCACGAAGACACCAGGACTGTGCAGCCCGCACAAAGCGTACATGGGGTGTGAAGGCCGAGGCGACACCGTGCGCTGGGCCCATCAAACGGTGCCCTTCTCGCTCATGTGGACACCAAGTGGTGTTTGTGGCCAATGGGAGGAGGCTCCTAGATAGAGTTCATGATGACGTGGGTTTGGCCCTCGTGGAGACCAGTTCGAGTATCTTTGGGAGGTGCTAAAAACGTAGCATTTCCAATTCACTTGTTTGAGCTCAAAAGCATGTGTCTTATAAAATATATGCCATTTATTTAGACCCCCCCCATTATTTGAGGTGCGATTATCATAATACCCCGGGGTCTTATATACGGGGGTTTACGGTAGGCTGTATTGGGGTTAGCACTAGAGGGCACACAAATCTTCTCAACATTCTTCTTGTACCCCCCTTTGACCTAATCCACTCATTCCTACCTACCTATCTTAACATGGTATTAAGAGCACTTAGGTCTTTAGGACCGTTTTTTCTAAGGGCCCACCGTTAGTTCTTCCCCTTCCACTGACCAAATCGCGCCCCTAGGGCGCGTTGATTTTGTGCCCACATCGCGCCCCTAGGCACGTCGATTTTCTGCCCACAAGGCATGTCGCGACCAAATCGCGTGGTGTTCATTTCCCGACCAAATCGCGCCCCAAGGCATGTCGTTTTTCCTGCCCAAATCGCGCCCCTAGAGCGTGTCGATTATCTGTCCGAATCGCGCCCCTACGCGCGTCGTTTTTCCTGCCCGGAGCATGCCCCTTAGTGCACAGTTTTCTGCCCTGCCTGCGCGTATGCGCCCTGCCCCGCGCTGTTGCCCTGCACACGCGACTACCCTGCCCTGCCCGCGCACGTGAGCCCTGCCCCAAGTGCCTGCCCTGCCCCGTGCTGCTGCCCTGCACGCGCGAATGCCCTGCCCTGCCCGCGCGTGTTTGCCCTGCCCTGTGTGCCTGCCCTGCCACGCGCTACTGCCCTGCACGCGCGACTGCCCTGCCAGCTGCCTGCGCTACCCGCATGCTGCCTGCGCAGCCTGTGCGGCCCGCGCCCTGCCCATGCCGCAGCTGCTGCTATCTTGCCTGGCCGTCGCTAGCGCTGCCCTGCCAAGCCGCAGCTGCTGCCTGCCACTGCCACTGCTGCTGCCGGCCGCTGCCACTGCTGCCCTGCCTGCACGCCTTGCACAGCGTTGCCCTGCCCTGCCTGGCCGCCGCCAGCGCTGCCCTGCCAATCCGCAGCTGCTGCCTGCTGCTGCCGCCACTGCTGCCTGCCACTGCCGCTGCTGCTGCCGGCCACTGCCGCTGCTGCTGCCGGCCGCTGCCACTGCTGCCCTGCCTGCACACGCTGGCCAGTGCTGCCCTGCCCTGCCTGGCCGCCGCCAGCGCTGCCCTGCCAAGCCGCAGCTGCTGCCTGCTGCTGCCGCCACTGCTGCCGGCCACTGCTGCTGCTGCTGCCGGCCGCTGCCACTGCTGCCCTGCCTGCACGTGCTGCCAAGCGCTGCCCTGCCCTGCCTGGCCGCCACCAGCACTGCCCTGCATGCTGCAGAGCGCTTCCTTGCCAAGCCGCAGCTACTGCCTGCTGCTGCCTCCACTGCTGCCGGCCACTGCCACTACTGCTGCCGGCCGCTGCCACTGCTGCCTTGCCTGCACGCGCTGCTTAGTGCTGCCCTGCCCTGCCTGACTGCTGCCAGCGCTGCCCTGCACACTGCCCAGCGCTACCGTGCCAATCCGCAGCTGCTGCCTGCTGCTGCCGCCACTGTTGCAGTCCACTGCCGCTGCTGCTGCCGGCCGCTGCCACTGCTGCCTGCTACTGCCGCTATAGTCCCTGCCACCGCTGCCCTTGCGCCGCTGCTGCTGATTTCTCCTGCCTGTCATGGCCACGCGTGTAGGTACCAGTACCAGTACATCTGCTCCTACAGGTGGTGCTGCTGGTGTAGGCGGAGGTTCTGGGGGTGGACAGGAACGGCAGCAGCGTCAGCCGGGGACTCTCTTGCCGCAGCAACATCGTGACTGGGTCATTCGGCGAGGCCACTCTCGTTGGGGTACTGGTGCTGGAGGTACTGGACAGTAGCGGCAGCCTCGTCGACAGGAGACTCTCTCGTTGCAGCAGCTGCGTGAGTGAGTTATTCAGCGAGGCCGCTCTAGTTGGGGTACTGGTGCTGGAGGTACTGGACAGCAGCGGCAGGCTCATCGACAAGAGACTCTCTCGCCGCAGCAGCTTCGCGAGTGGGTTCTTCGGCGAGGCCGCTCTGGTTGGGGTACTGGTGCTGGAGGTACTAGACAGCAGCGTCAGGCTCGTCGACAGGAGACTCTCTCGCCGCAGCAGCTTCGGGAGTGGGATTCTCAGCGACCCGTCCCTGGTAGTTTAGAGGCTACTAGTCTAGGTGCCATTGAGCCTGCTAGCACAGGTGCAGCACCTGCGGAGGCTCTACACACCTTCACGCTTGACTCAGGCGCGTCTCGCTGCTTCTTCCGCGACTGCACCACAGTCACACCACTCACTACACCTATCCCGGTCACTCTGGCTGACCCCTCTAGGGGCATAGTAGTAGCACGTGCCTCCACCATTCTCCCGTGTCCGGCAGCCCCTTCCGGCTCGCTTGCGGGTCTCCACCTCCCCTCTTTCACTACGAACTTGCGGCTTGCCTGCACCGCTCTACCTTCCCTGCGTCGAAGGGCGGCAGCGCGCCGCTCCTCACTCCTCCTCGTTTCCTCCGACCACTGCTCCTCTGCAGACTCTCCACATGGACGTGTGGGGCCCCGCCCGCGTCAGTGGACCGGACCGAGAGCGCTACTTTCTGCTGGTTGTTGACGACTACACGCGCTACATCACGATCTTCCCCTTGCAGAGCAAGGCGGATGTTCCAAGTGTCTTGATCTCTTAGATCCGCGCTATTGGTCGCCAGCTGCGTGTCCGGTTCTAGCAGGACCTCCCGGTCCTTCGTCTGCACTCCGACAGTGTTGGTGAGTTTTCTTCTCGCCTCCTTGGGGTTTTTTGTTGTGAGGAGGGCAGCGTCTAGTCGTTCATGCTTCCGGCCTCTCCACATCAGAATGGGGTTGCTGAGCGCCGGCTGTATCGACTTGATCATGGAGGTTGCTCGCACCTCCATGATCCATGCGAGTGCTCCCTATTTCTGTGGCCGTTTGCAGTCTGATACGCCACACAGCAGCTCAACCTCTAGCCTCGTGTCTCCGTGCTAGAGACCTCGCCTACACTGCGTTGGACAGGGAAGGCTGGCGATGCGTCGGCATTTCGGGTCTGGGGTTCGATGGCCCTTGTCCGCGATACCACCGCGAACAAGCTCTCTTCTTGCACCATTCCTTGGCATTCCCACCGACGCGCCTGGCTGGGAGTTTTAGCACCCAGCTTCGCGTCGCGTCCTGTCCTCCCAGGACGTCACCTTTGTCTAGTCGGTTTGCTTCTACCGCCTCTACCGCCACTGCACTACCCTCGTTCCCCCCCCCCCCCTGCCTTTCTTCCTGGTTCTAGGTCCCCCTCCGGTAGACCCTCTCCCCCCCACAGAGTCCTGCTCCCTGAGGTGTGTCTCAAGTAGACCCACCCCCCTTGGTTGAGCCTTTGGAGGTCACCTCTGACACCTCTGGCCCTGCAGAGGGGGGTGACGCTGCTGTAGACGACACAGCAGCCACTCACCGCTCACCGCGCCTGGAGACCCCTCCTAGTTTTCCGCCTCGGCCGTCT